ACTTCCTGAGCCTCAAGTTTCCTTCTTTGTGAAATGGTTACAACCACAGCTGTCTGACCATTAAGAGCATCAAAGAAAGAAGTGGGGGAGAGAACCAGACTCCCAGGTCCAAACCCTGGGCCTCTGAGAAAGGGCCTGGCTTCTCTGTGCTGGTGTCCTTCTCTAGAAACCTGGGATAATGGGCTCCTACCTCACACAATGGCTGGAGAAGTGCAGGAGTCAAACCATGCCCTGGGGTGTTACCATAACACTGTTACTGCTTGCGCCATCAAGTCAGACCAACTCATAGCTGATCCTCTGGGGGGCCCGTAGCAGCTGTGAACTGCACAGGAGACTAGACTGCCCATTGTTCTCCTATGGAGTAGCTGGTGGATTTGAACTACCTGACTTTGGATTGGCAGTGCAACTCACTACCCACTAGACCACCAGAGCTCCCACTTACAATCAGAGGCATTAACTATTACAAGCAGTCCTCAATTCACGATGGGGTTCTGTCCCAACGACTGTCATAAATCTGTTTTTTCTATTCCTTTCCCTTCACTTATCTGCTATTAATTTTTGCTCCCCTGTCACAAGTCAGTTCTAAGTGGAATACATTTTCTAACAAAGTTAAAATTGCATTTTACTGTCAGTATCTGTCTTCGTAACTCTGAAGGGAGGCCTGGTGGCCTATAATGTGAACAGGTCGTTGCACTGCTCACCCAAAAGCCCCATCTCTTTGGTGGTTTGAATTCCTCAGACGCTCGGTGGAAGAAAGATAGGCAAACTCCTCTTGTGCCAATTTATAGCCTCAAAAACCCAGTGGAAGGGCATCTATGAGTAGGCAGTGAATAAATCCAATTTAGTATCATAAATCTAACTATTTGGTTTTTTTGGGGGGGTGGGCATGAGAATAATTACACCAGTAAATTACATGCTGTGCATCATGCTGTTATGCCATCAAGTCGGAACCCACCCACTGCTGCCCCTCCAGTGGGTTTTCAGGGACAGTATATTGCACACGAGAGACTGTCTCCCAAGGAGCTTCTGGTGGATCCGAACTGCACGCCTTTGGGATTTCTTACAGCTAGGCCAGAATCAGTGACTGGGGTAATGAGTGTAGGTGGTTCAGAGACAGTGAAGTGGTACAGGACAGAGCAGGTTTCAGGGCTGTTGTACATACACAGGGCTGCTATGAGTCACAAGCGACTCAGTGGCACAACAGGCCACCAGGGCTCCCTCTGTGCCATCATGGGCTGTTGTTGTTGTGTGTCGTCAAGTTGGAACTGACCCAAAGCTGATCCTCCAGGGGGGTTTTAGAGGCAGTTAATCCAATGGGAGAAGACTGCTCATCTTTCTCCCATGAAGCAGTGGGTGGATTTGAACCAGGTGCCTTCCGAACTGCAGCACAGATCCTTACCACTAGGCCACCCGAGGTGCATTTTTTAAAATGGGTTTTATCTTAACTCAAACACATCCTCAGTCCAGGACTTCCTGCACTACATGTTGCTGTTACTGTTCTGTCCCTTCGAGGCAGAATGGACTCACAGATGACCCTCCAGCCGGTTTCCAGAGGCTGTAAGTCACACGGGAGGAGACTGCTCCTTTCTCTCCCGCACAGCTGCTGGGGGATTAGAATCATGTGCCCTCCCGTATTAGATATCTCGTTAATGTTAACTTGGCACGCAGTGTGTCCATTACCAACCCAGAAGTCAGGCATTGGGCACTGACGTCAGACGGCTGCAGTCTGAGTCTCTGCCACATCACACATAAACCACGGGACCTTGTTTAGATTAGATCACCTTTTGGTGCTGCGTCGAGAAAATGGGGTCAATAACATTGCCTACTTCATTGAGTTCTGGAATTTAAAGCTGTTAACCAGTGTATCGTGTTGGCACACTGAAAGCACTGGGTGTTATTAATGGTGTAACATAATTACCTAATTATCATTAGCAATATTAGCATTGTTGTGGAGGGAGTGTAAAGAAGCGAATCCTTATTGAGCACCTGCTATGTCCCAGCACGAGTCAACTTCCAAAGACACCCCTGGAGTAGCACTTGAGTTCTGCATTTTAAAGAGCAAAGTGGGTTTGGAGAGTGACAGTGGGCTGCCGAGAACCCACAGGTGGTGTGGTCTGAGCGGCTTGGCTAGCCCCGATTCGGGGGTGAGGAGGAGGAACTGGCGCTTAGCAGGAGCCTGACATGTGCTAAGATAGGGCTCAGTGCCTTGTTAAATCCTTTAATCCCCATGGCAACCTTGGCCAGGTATATTCTTATTCCCATGAGCCAGACAAGGGCCTGAGTCTCAGAGACAAGAGCTGTTCCAGTTCTTAGAGCTCCTAAGTGGTGGAGCCAGATCCAGACTTGCTCGTCCCGCCTGAATTCTGCTTAAGCAGGCAGTTCGGTCACAGCTGTGTAAGGATTCCAGCAGAGCCAGAGGACACAAAAGCCTTTCTCTCCAGCTAGAAAATCCAAGTGATAAAGCTGGCCTTCTCAGAACTTCCTCAAGTCCTATGGCTTTGAATCACTGGATCCAAGCTCCAGGGATGCTGCCTCCAGGGAGGCCCCCCGGATATATGCTTACAGACACCACAAAGATGATCAACATCCCACAGGTCATTGTTACCCAGAAATCTTTATTACAAAAATATTTTGCAAGCCAAAAAGTTTAAGTTGCAACTATATACAAAACGGGGCCTGTTTCCTTCCCAGGAGTCTTAAAATAAACTCCCAAAACCACTCCTTCCGCAGCGTTCGTTCAACCCCTTCCTTTTCCTGGGGTTCAGTACACAAGGTGTGGGGAATCTCCAGGCTGCAACGAAGCTAAAGCTGTATGTCTCCCTTGGCCTCGTTCCCTTACTCCCCCCCTCCAAAAAGAAAAATAAAGTCAAAGAAAAATGGCACCAAGAAAACATTCTTTTAAAATCCTGTGTATGTGTGTGTTGAACATATGTATGTGCAAAACTATGCATGTATGTATGTGTGTGTGTTAATGTCTGTGCATGTACGTCTGTGAGTGTGCATGCAGGCGTGTGTATGTGTACGCATGCACATGTGCTCTCTCTAGGCAGGAGAGAGGGAGACCGAGGTTTACAAGCCAACCCTTTGGAATTGGAAATGACAGGAGCCAGGTGGCTGGGCCACGGTGGCTCCCATCCGTCGGCCCACATGGCATGCTGGCTCAGTTCATTCCTGGATGCCATCATGCAAAACGCTAAGCCAGCAACCCCTGGAGAGCTGGGCCTGTGCTGAGTTCCTCAAATTCCACCTGCTGGAATGCCGGTCAAGCCAGCCTCTTGCTCTGACAGCCTGGGCCAGGAATCCCTCGGGTATCAAGTGCCAGGATCAACCAAAGAGGCCATGAGCGCTAGCATTTTAACTCTACAGGTTGATCAGTAACAGCAAAGACCAAATGAGCAAGGCGTGCTCACTCGGGGAGTGGGGGCACAGGGGGAGGCTGGTCAGACCCTCGCCCCTTCGAGGGCAACAGCTCCCCTAGTAGAAGTAGTCTCTCCCCAAAGGGGTCGCTGCCTCAGTCAAACCTCCTGAGATGAAATGGCAGAGGCAGGAGAGCCCTGGCTTCTAGGCTGCTGGACGTCTTCGATTTATTCCAGTTTCATCCCAAGAGGTTTTGAGAGCAAAGATGAAGGATCCCTCCCTGTAGCGAGCAGCTCAGAGGGCCAGGATGGGAAGCTTGTGAACAGGGCGGGGAAACAAGCACCCTCAGCGTCACCACCCTGCAGATTCCTAAAGTGCTTGTGAGAGATGTGGGGAGGGAGGTCACTTTTCCTCTCCCCATTGTACAGATGAGCAGACTGAGGCATTGGGGCTCAACAACACTGTATCACCACAGAGGCAGCCAGGAGAAGCACTGGCAGATTGATATGTACCACAGTGGGGTCAAGGAAGGCAGTGGGGGGGGGGTCCCAACCACGTGGCTCCCATGAGAACAAGATCAATTTCATCCAGAGAGGAGAGAAAGCTCAGTGTCTCCCAGGACCAGCCAGACCAGCCTGTCCTCCCCGTCCACAGGGCTCTGGGACTTGGTGTAATTCAGTTTCTGTTGTAAGAAAAATCCTTGCAGGACAATAAACCATTAAACCTTAGACTTCACAAGACCCAACCATGTACTTCAACACATGACAAAGAGCCAAGATACGTCGTTGTTGTCTTAAGGGGAGAAAGGGAAAAAAGAAATTAAAAAAACCAAAAATAAACACCACAGATCAAAATTTCTAACACCTCAGTTTCAGGATTGCACGTTTCACATTTCTCAATAATTTACAGGCGTCCACAGCGAAGTTGTGAATTAGTACTAGCTGGAGAAAGCAAGCTGGGCTAGAGAGGAGAGATGGGTCCGCGCAGGGTGTCACAGTCAGGACAATGGATCCTCGAGGAATTTGAGAGGGAACAAGAAGAGAGGGGCTTCTATCCCTCGGTCCTTCCAGGGGCATCGGCTCCTCCCCTAGGGCTCGTGGCTCATGGGCCCAGGGATTGGAAGGCCAGGACTGCTGGCTGTAACCTCACCAAGGCTTGGGCAGTGGGCTCCAGGGTTCTTGCCCAGCTTCTCTGTGGATGGGCAGTTCGATGTCAAGGAGGACCTTTATCCCAAAGCCTCGTTTGAGTGATATGGTGGAGGAGGTGGAATCTTCTCCCTCCTCACCTGGCAGACCACGTCGTGGAGTATCGCGGCAGTCACGGGTCTTCCAGACCACAACCAGGACACAGGCGTTGATGGAGCAGAGGCACGTAAGCTCTTGGGGTGGGGGCCCCCCAGCTGCTGTGACCAGTTCCCAGCCTGGCGCCGTGCCTAGGGCGGTGACATCAGCCTCCATGCGTGAGAACGTGGAGGGCCGGGGCAACCCAAGAAGTGCTGGGGAGCCAAGAGCTGTCCTTGCCCCTGGGTCCCAGGGCCTGGCCATCCTGGTCTCCGGGGAGCTGGGCTGCTGTCCTCACCATGGCAGCTCCATGCGGGACAGGAAAGCTTGTGGGGAGTGGCCCTCAGGTGACCGAGGTCCCATTCACTTCCTCTGGACCTGGACGCTGGCATACTCTGAAGAGGGCTCGGGCTTGGGGGCAGGTTGCTTGGGGACCCGGTTGAGGTGGACCATGTCCAGGTCAGCGTAGGTGAGGTTGTCCTCCGGCCCGGGCGGGGGGCCGGTCTGGATGCTGGCGTACTCTGTGTGGTTGTTTGGCTCTGCAGCCCGGGGCGCAGGCTTCTTCCCTTTGGGTAGGTTGAGGTCTGCATAGGTGATGTCATTGGTGTCCTGGATCTAAACGAGATGGAGAGGGTCATTCCAGAGCCTGCAGAGTCCACTCACCAACCATTCAGGTCCCAAGTCCTGAAGCACTGTCTCCTCTCGGCCCCTTCTGGCTCCATCCCCACTCAAGCACCTGGTGGTCTAGTGGGTAAGGAGTCACTCTGCCAACCCAAAGGCAGGCAGTTCAAAACCACCAACTGCTCTAAGGGAGAAAGTGGGCAACCTCCTTCTGTGCAATTTACAGCCTCTGAAAACCCTCTGGAGGATCAGGTATGAGTTGGTTCTGATTCAAAGGTGATGAGCTGCATTTTGTGAACTCTTACCAAGGTTACCCTACAAACCCCTTTTGTGGTCTTTCTGCCTTCAGCCTTCCTCCTCCCTCCCTCCCTCCCTCTCTTTCTCTTGATGATCTGAGGCTCTTTGTCAGTGTCCTGTGACCACTCCACAGCCCCGAGCAACCTGCGGCTCTGCCTGTCCCCACGCTGTTTCGCCGTCTACAATATCCCTCCCCTTGGCATACAATAAAAGCTTCAGTTCAGTCACCGAGGGCTGATATCAATCAAATCAATCATGGCGTCTGCACCATGCTGCTGTTGTGTGCTGTGGGGTCAATTCCTACTTAGAGTGACCCTGTTGGCCAGAGGAGTACTGCCCATAGCTTTCAAGGCGTCAGTCTTTACTGGAACGCCTTATCTGTCTCCCACAGAGCAGCAGGTGGGATCAAATGGAGTCCTTTCGATAAGCAGTTGTGTGTTTAACCACCGCACCCCAAGTCTGTTATGTGGAAATGATTAACCTCATTTCATAGGGGAAGAAAATGAGGCTCAGTGAGGTAAGCTAAAGCTGTGTCTTCCCTCCGAACTTCTCTGTCCTGGACCCTGGGCACACCCTCAATTAGTAATGCAAAATCCTGCCACACATCACATTCTACCCCAGCGAAGCTGACACCTGTGAATCTGAGCTATGAGACCACAGCTACCAAGAACAGGGCTGTGGCACTCCCCACCCCCCCTTGCTTACTGCATATTAGCTGCTGCTTGGTAAATCTTTCCCCCAGAAAGTGCCAGAAAGAAATCCAGAAGTAAACTGATTGGGCAGAAAGCAATGGATACTACGACTGTTTTCCCAAGCTGGACATGAGCTCCCACCCAGGCAGCCTTGGGTCAGGAAGCTGGCTGAGGAAGAGCGCGCCTTTCACCAGCCCAGCTCCTTCCACACATCACATCCGAAACGATGACAAGTGCTTGGGAGATGTCAAGGACAGCTGGCGCTCTCTCGTCCCTGGGTTCAGAGCAGGGCCTGTCTTATTACAAGACGCCAAGGAGCCCTCTTGCCTCCAAGGTCTGACAGCGTCAGCTGGTGATAAGCAGGGCTAAGTTCCTCAGAAATAGGCCAACCGTGTTGTCTGAGAAATCGCCTCAGCTGGAGGCCATGTGTCCTTTCGTGAGGTAATTAATAGCACAGGGTCCTGCTCCCAGCAGCAGACTGGGGAGGCTCTGACAGCACTGGGCCGCCTGGAGTCCGTGCAAGATGGGCTCCAAGGAGGTGGTGAAGGAAGCTCCTGGTAGGTGAGGCCCAGCCCACTACACAGTAACCCCTGGAGCCATGCAATGGGTCAACTCAACTCGCTGCTGTCAAATCAGAGCTGACTCATCACTGACCTTTCAGGACGTTTTCAGAGGCCGTATCTGACTCACACAGGCAGAGCCTGCCTACCTTTCTCCCTAGGAGCACCTGGTGGATTTGAACCTCCCGTGTTTGGGTTGGCAGTGCAACCCTTTACGCTAGGCCACCAGAGCCAGCATCGCGTTCTAGGGAGCTTGTGGCCGATTCCCCCGCTGGCTGGCGCAGAAGGAGGGGGTGTGTGAGGACAAGAGGAGGGGGACAGGAGTGTACAGGTCCTCCCACCCAGGGGAGCGAGCACGTCTTAATCGGGAACCGGATCTGAGGAAATCACACCATCCAGGCTCCCTGGGAGCGTATCTCACCAAGGACTGTACCTGGGTTACTTCTCTGGCATTCTTCTCAGGCTCGTGCAACCTAAAAAAAGGAGAGAAGAGGCACTGATAAAAATATCCTCCCTATCTCCAGCACTCACACAGACGGATAAGAATAACATTTAAGTTCCACTTCCTTTCTGGGTGGAGGATATTGGATGAACAGTTCAAACAAGAGGCACAGCTGCTTCTCCAGCGTATGGACGAAAGGGCCCCGCAAGAAGGAGTCGGAACCAGCCCACTATCATTTTTTCAGCCTGAGCCATCACCAAGGATTAAAAAAAAAAATACTCAGTGGTGGTGATGCTGGGGTGAGACTGGACTTTTCACAGACCACTGACGGGAGAGGTGAACCACATTCTTTAGAAAAGCAGCCTCGAAATAGAGACCAAGAGCTTGCAAAGTGCCAGCTACCAAGCTCATGAAAAAAAAAAAAAAACCACACAGAAAAAGTTGACGCACGAGGGACGTCTGTTCCTGGAGTGTTTACATTTCACAGCTCTGCCAGTTGGGACCAGCCAAGGATGGGAGGGTGGACGCAGAGAGATACAGACGAAAACAGGTTTCTAAGGAGATTTTTCTTACTGCAGATGATTACGTTAAAATGGTAAGCTGAAAAAGTTAAGATTCTCCGCGCAAAGATCTCAACCGTGACAAACGTGCAGTTAGCACTGGGAGGCAACACGGAAAGGTGATAATAAGTCTTTAGGTGGTTATGTTTCTCTTCTAATTTCTCATAGTCTCCAAATACGGTAAGCAGTCAGGTATTAGCATAAAAAGGAAGAAGACAGACAGACAGACCGAGACGCCTTGGTTCGTCAGGGGCAAGTACGTGCGTTTGACTTTGCAGCTGGCAGCCGGGCCTGGCGCGTGCGTGTGAGGCTAAGTTGTGTGCAAACCCACAACCCTGGTTCTGCAGGAGGCATGTGACTCGTGAGCCAGCAGCTCTGGGCATGGGAGCCCGGTTCCCGTCAGAACTGAGCGATGGGGCTTGGAGCAGGTTATTAATGGATCTGGCCTGAGTGCTCGCCTGAGAAGGCAGTTCTGGGGACGTGACAAGCCCCACACGGCCAGAGAGAAGGCCGATCAGCAGGCGGATACGTCTGGTAGGTGTTCATGCGGAGCTACCCACACTGTCACCAGTTCCAAGCATTCCTGGGGTTCACGCCCAACTCCTCTTTGGGTCAAGTCCTGACTCCTGGCCCCTGCTGATTCCCTCAGGCTCATTTGCTCCCCCACTTACCCACCTACTAAATACTGAATGAGCATTACACGCTTTATGCTCGAAGCACAGCCTAGATTCCCCTCTTGGAGCACATTTCTCTTGATTCATTCCTGTTTATTCTTTAAGACTCAGCTATGACTCTGCTCACTTGGGAGAACTTGTCTGACAGTGCTGGGTTGGCCCGGAGGCCCCTCCCAGTCTATTTTTATATCTGGTTTATCTGTACACTGTGCTTCCTCACTAGATGGGGCAGGTGCTCAAGAGCTGACTCAGAATGAATGGATGAGTGCCCCAGGGCCTTTGCACATGCAGTCCTCCCTTGTCTCTTCGTCTGCCTGCTCCTTTAGATCCTGTTTTAAGCAGTCCTTTCTCAGGATACCATCACCGAACCTGCAGACTCCACTCTCAGCAGGCTGGTTCCTCCCTGGCACAGTAAAGTTGATTAGACTGTGATCAACTATTCGTTTTACAAGTCAGTCCTTCCCCTTCCTCTTTCCTGTCTCAGTGTCAGCAGATGGTACCTCCTTCATCTATCACCGTGCTCAGTGCAAAGAAGCAGAATCAGCCTCGGTCCTTCTTTCTCCTCCTTTACGGGCAACTCTAATTCACTCCCAGGATCACTGGTGCCATCCCCAAATCTAGTCCTCTGTTGCTGCCACCATCCTGAAGAGCCCACCTCTCTGATATTCCTAGGTTCTGGTCCTGCCTTCAGTGACGCCACTGCCCACATTTCAAAAGGATCGGTGCTAGCACATCACAGCTCTCCCCAAGACCCTCAGCCCTTCTCATCATGCCACAAGGGATATTCCAGTGCTGTACCTACACCCAGCCGGATCCCATCTGCTGAATGTTCTAGTCTTCCTTTCACGCTCTACTCAGGCCACCCTGACCTCCTCCTTGATGCTTCATGAACTGCTGCTCCAGCCATGAACTCAGGGCCCCAGCTCTCCTCGGCCTGCTGCACTCCTGCCTCATGGAATCCTGGGGCTGGAGACTGCTCATCCTTAGGTTATCTCCTGAATGTTACCGTAGACACACTTCTTCTGCTCCCCCATCACCACCCCACCTTCCCGCTCTGCTCCAGCCCCTTACCCTGCTTTGTGAGGGACAGACAGCCCCTACCTGACATGGCTTCATACCCTCCCAGCCTACGGGGTGACTGCTTATTGGACCATGAGTGCTATGTAGGCAGGAACCCAGAAGGAACCCCCAGAATGCAGTCTGAGGGATGGAGATCTAAGCATGGAGTTTGGGGGCTCAGTGAAGATATCCCAAATAAGGACTTTTAAAACAGGATCTAGAGGAAGAGGTAGAGTGAAGCAGTTGGAGAGACAGGGAAAGCTGGGTTTGTCAGGGCCCTGGGGTAGCCTGATACTGATGCCAAGTCATGTGCAAGGGCCCTGGGGCAAGTTGACATTCATCCCAAAGTCCCATCTGGTAAAGAAGCAAGACAAACAGAGAGACAGACAGAAACACAAACCACATAAAAACAAGCCGAGGTATCCTAGCCAAGCCAGTGCTGTCAGAGAAGCTACCCCAAAGAGGTAGCAGGTTAGTTAAGTCCACCACTGAAGTCCCTGCACTTGGAACCAAAACAGCACAAGGCCAGCACTCTACAAATATTTGCTGAATGAATGAATCCTCCACCCATAGTAACCTAAGTGTCCTCTTTGTTCCCCTTATTGCAGTCCCCCAGCTCCAGGCCTGTCACCGAGCTGGGTTGATCTAGGCGAACAAATAAAAGAGCCAGGGAAATCCTAAATATTCCACGAACAAGCACAGCAAATGTCTGACAAATGAACGGATGGCCGGCCGAAGGAGCCCCAGTGCCCAATTAAGGAAGCCGAGACACATTTTTCTCCCATCTGAGCCGAGGAAGATTACAGACAGTGTTCTTTCTGCCTGGATGTTCCTAACCAGGGGAGTCAGCGACCGCCAAGCCCTCCACGGCACCCCTGCAATCGGCCCCCCTGCAAAGGGATAGGGTCCTTTGAACTCAAAGCGGCAGCGTTCCCCGGGCACCCCCCAACGGGCTCGGCTGTTACCCGGCGTCATCGTCGTTTGGAAAACGTCTGATCCCCAGCACGCGGCGGCTGCAGCCGGCCGACCCACCAATGCCGCTCACTAGCTTCCACTTTGGTTCAGCTGAACGGGGACCAAATGATGAAAGATGAAAGGGAACACGTGCTTTCACAGCTCCCTTGGTAGGCCCATGCCGGAAAAAGAAAATAAAAAAACACCAAGCCCAAAACGGCCGTCTTCTCCCGGGAAGATGAAACAGGCAGCAAGAAGCATCTGAGCGAACGCGGATGATGAAAAGCACCTGCTCTCGTGTCAGAAGACTCGGCCCGAGTCACAGCTCGGAGTTTCCAGCACTTATCGACGGCGGGATCGCGAGAACATCACAGGACTGCCCCAGCCTCCGTTCCCTCAACCATATAAAGGGCGATATTAGCAAACTTCCCAGACACGAGTGGTTAAGTGTTAGACTACTACTCCAGAGGTTGGCAGTTTGAACCCACCCACAGGTGCCTCTGGAGACAGGCCTGGAACAGCGGCGGCCCTCAAAGCCCGACAGGTCTACATTGTACACATGCGGCTGCTGTGACATCAAAGTGACTTAATGGCAATTAACATGAAGAAGCTTCTAGAACAGGGCTCTCAAGAATGGCCTGGGATCCATACCAGCAATGCCCCCTGAGAAGCAACTGCCAAGCCCTCCCTGGATCCCCCTGGAGCAGAAATTCAGTTTTAGTCTGTGTTTAGAAATACAAATCCTGAATCAGAAACAGCAAGGGGCTTTAAATTGTGTTTCAGGAGCCTTCCAGCTGACGCCAGGACACACAGCGGGCTGAGAACCGCTGCTCTGTAACCAGGGATGAAAATGCATCACAGGGATTCCGGCGACAATTATATTACAAACGGGCTAACGTAAGTCAAAGTGTAGGCCGGTGACTGGCACATAGTAAATGCTCAATAAACGCTAGCTGCTGCTGTTCCTGTGACTATTACTGTTGATGTGATCTTTTTCTTCAAGAAACCATCTGATAAGGGAAGAAGACAAGTAAAATATAACAACACTGACAACAGAGAGCGGGTGAGCAAGCGAAAGAGGGACCGTCCAGTGCTTGGGGCCATGAAGCCGCCAAGTGTGAATGTTTTGAGCTCCAAGAATGAGGAGATGGGAGCTTACCGGCCATGTCTGTAATGGCAGCCATTCATTCACCAAAACTTTACTGAATGTTGCTATCCAATTCCAGGTAACACGGCCAGGTTAGCGGCCACAGCCATGAGGAGGGGGAATGGCCCCGCAGGAGGACAGGTGCAGAGGCCCATGAGCTCACAGGGGTGACAGTACAGGGGGTCTGGGAGACCTCCCAGGATGGGCCCCCAACCCTGGAGGAGGTGACATCGACCCTCAGCCCAAAGAAGAGCAGGCACTGTGGGGCAGAAGGAGGGGTGCCCACTCTAATCACCACGCTGTGCCCATGTAACTGCTGCCCGAGAGTTAAGGAGCCCTGGGAGGTGTGCGAGCAGGGCAGGGACACCTCTCAGAGAGAGGCCAGCTCTGAGGGACAGGAGGAAAGCAGGCAGAAGAAAGCAGGACCAAGGCCTGGAGCCGAAGGCTGGAGAGATGCTGCCAGGGGGTCTGTCCAGTCAGCAGGGCTGGGCCAGGGGGGCCTGGGGGCCTGGAGAAAAAATAGGAACTTTATTTTAAGCTGGGGGAACCACTGAGAGGACAGAAGCAGAGCTTTGCATCTTGAGACTGTGGACCAGGTGCGGGAATGAAGTGGACAAAGGCCCAGCCAAAGGAATGTACTTCCTGGGAAACACAAGGAGCTGCTTTACCGCAGGGCTCTGTCTGCTCACGGTGGGAGAGGAGGGGCTGGACAGGCTGTGGCGGTGGGGACCAGAAAAGGAAGCCAGGCTGTGTCCCCTTCTACCTCCCAGAACCCCCTCAGGTGAGTCAGACACCCTTATGCTCTACCAAGCACCCTGCCTTTCCCCTTCACCTCGCCCATCATGCACACTCCCCTCTGAACATGACCTCCAACTTGAGCGCTAATCTTGACCCTCCATTCAATCTATTTAGAAAGTCTTTTCATCTCTACCTTCAAAATACATCACCCAGCCCCTGTCCAACCCAACTCTCTGGTCTGCACACACTGGCAAGTGACTCATTTGAGACAAAGTTGGATGATGTCCCCCCTGCGGCTTCTGTTTGCACCCTGAGTCCTTCCTGTGCCCACAGGACACCAGCTTCATGGTAGCCTTCCGTTTTGCTTACCCCCCTGAGTCCTAAGAGATCAGATTCTCTTACACGCATCCAGTGGTGAGCCTGAGCTGGATGAACACCAAGCTATTTCACTTCATTTATCCCGCGGGGGTGAATATTCCTATGTTTCTATGCAGATGCAGCAATATGTTAGATTACGGGGTGCAGCCCCTACCCTGGTGGGGGTGAACAGGGGCGCTCCTAAAAGTAGAAGAGCCTGAATTAGCACATCCGGCTGCAAAGACTTCAGAAAGGAGGCTATGCACCTGCATCTCCACCATCTCAAGGTCTCCTCTGCCCCATTTCCCTCTACCAGCCACACAGGCTGCCCCCCTGCCCCGTGTCCACCACCCACCCCACCCCCGAGCTGTCCTCTTGCTCAGCATACTGCTCCTCCTCCTCACAGCCTCTCAGCTCTCTCTAATACGTACTCCATTCTCAAACAGCTTGTGAGGACCACACACTCCTGAGGTGACATTTCACAGCACTTTGCTTCCATCTCTGGCCTGTCTCCCTCACTAGTATCCAAGCCTCAAGCAGGCCTGGGCTTTGCCTGCTCCCTGCTATGACCCCAGCACCCAGACAGAGCCAGCACATAGCGGAGACACAGCAAACACCGCAAACATGAATCAACAAATGAACGTGTTCTGAGTCACCTGAGCTCCCCAGTGGCTGTGAGCTTCAGGGAAATACACACTCCTTCCATCTGAAGTATCACACAACTCCCAGGGCCAAACCATGCCAAGGACTCAACAAGAATTTATGGACTCAAAGAAAGAGCTCACCACACAGCCCAGGCCTAGCCTGGCGATGAGAGCCTTGGGTGTGGGGCATTTGGGAGCACGGAAAACCTGGGGGGTCATCTGTTACCATCCACATGGGAACTGATCAGGGACAACAGGCACGAACGTAAAGCCTCAAATCAATGTGGTCATTACAAACAGCTCTGGGACTGCAGTGACGGGATAAAAATGCTTCAGGGCACAGAAGTGAGGCAGTGGTGTGGAGCGTGCTTTGATATTTGGAGTTCTCAATAATCAACTGAAAACCAGAAAAGCACTCAAGCCCAAGGATGTGCTTACCTTGTAGAAGAAGTGGAACCCTTAGCTGGAAGAGAAAAGGAAAAGCCAGTTATTTAAGATAGGCAGGAACACACTGTCTTCCATCACGTGCCCCTCCACTCCCAAGTGTCTCCCCGCAGGGCCATGGGGAGGAATCACTGGCCCACAGTCTCCCAAAAGGAAGACCACAGGGAGGACCCTGCTTGCCCACCCAAGGGAGCTGCCAGAGGTCAGACTCCTAAGTGGCTGTGAGGGGTCAAGTGCCCCACGTGGTCAGGGCCTCAAAGCGATTCGGCCACAAATGTAAGGGAGGCCTGACAGTCCGCCCAGACTGACACACTGGGAAGAAAGGCCTGGTGATCTACTGAAAAGCAAGCCAATGAAAACTCCATGAAGCATGATAATCTGATCGTATTGTCCACGGGGGTCACCATGAGATGCAGGACAACTCAATGACACCTAGAAGATCAAGCCCGACACCCAGCCTGAGACCCTCACAACGGGTAAGATTTCAGGGCTGGGAGTCAGGGGCCCCAGACTTGAGTCCTAGTTGTGCCGCTGACTCGCTGCGTGACCTTGGGTGGGCCGTCTCCCCCTCTGCGCCTGCATTGCACCTCTAGAACCCGCAGGGCTGAGCTGGCATCCATTTACCTACATGTCCCTATTGTGTGAAAAAAGGATCTCGGGAGGGAAGAAAGGCCCATCTGGTTCAGAGGTTTTAAACCTGTAATATGGGGCACCCCATGGAGAAGCCTCTGGGGTTCAGCAGCCATTTGACTCCCATTTCACTGCAAACCTGTAATTAAAAAGCAACCTGCACGCTGGAATGTGCTCTGCACCGCAGGCCAACAGGCTGGAGGCTGCCAGGGTGCGAGGATTCCTGCTGCCCGGTTCACAGCTGGTGCCCGGGCAGGCGCTGCAATGCAGGTGAGCGAGTGGGTTGCAGGTGGGGAGGCTGCAGCTCGGCACCTGACCTCGGAGACCATGAGCCACCAAGCAACTGGGGCACAAGTCATCTGTGGGGAAGTCAGTGATGCTAGGCACCCCCAATTTGAGTGACTTATCCAGGGCTACGCAGATGGCAAGCTGTGGTGGAGAAATGAAGGGATCTCTGGTGGCTCAGTGGTAAGGAGCTGCGCTATCAATCCAAAGGCATATGGTTCAAATTCACCAACTGCTTTGTGGGAGAATGATGGGTAATCTCTTTCCACGCAATTAACTGCCTCTGAAAACCCACTGGAGGGCCAGCTATGAGTCAGCTCTGACTTGACAGTACACAACAATAATAATGTCATGATTATTGAATGGAAGAGGATGGGTGGACCCCTCCAGACCCCAGCAAAGGAAAAAAAAATGAGGGTGGAGGTGGCAGTCAGAGGGGTCCCATGCATGGTCCCTGAAGACCCACTGCCAGGGTTTGAATCTGGGCTCCACCACTGAGCAGCTGTGAGGCCCCAGGCAAGTTTTAGAACTTTTTTATGCCTCAATTTTCTCATCTGTAAAGTGGGACCTCAGAGTTTTCTGGTGAGGACCAAGTCACTATGCACAAAGCCCCTGGACAGTGCCCAGAGCATCAGAAGAGCTGAGTGGGGCTGGCCATTTATTGCCACTCTAGCCCATGTATGCCAATCAGGGTTGTGTCTGCAGCTCCCCAAGCCTTTGTTCTGGAGCTCTGGGACTCTGACGCCCCAATATAATAAGATCCCATGTCAGTCAAGATGGATGGGCTTCAGGAAAGAGTTTCAACAGTGACATCTGTGAGGGCTCCGTCAAGAGGGACTGACTTGTCACCCTGGTGGGTAAGCGACCTGGCTTCCCTACGCAAGGAGAGTCTTCCTCAGGAGACGGCGCTTCAGAGGAAGCACTCAGCGCATCTCCTGCGGGAACACCTTGCAGCTTCCGGCTGTGATGAATACAAGCACTCGAGGTTCAGCCAGTATCTAAGAGCAGAGTGTGCATTCAGCCTCTCTTAAAGGAGGGAAGCGAGAGACAGGGCGACGGGCTGTAGTCTGCTGTGCAAATTTGTCCGTCCAGGGATAAAAGATCATCTCGGGACAACCTTTTTCACTTCGTGACACACAGTGGGTCACAAATGGCATTTACAAAAGAAAACCAGATCGACAATGATAAAAAGAAACCAAATTTTATCCACAGGTGTGTGCAGTTCTCCAAAGATGGGAAATGTACTTCTCTCTCTTGTAATCAAAATCTTAGGAGTTCCTTAAAACCGTCTCCTCAAGAGTCAGAGAGAGAACACATGTTTAGTGCAGGCTCAGAATGTGTCAAGCCTGCTAACACTCAGGGCTGTGTTTGGTTGTCCAGATTATCTCCGGAGGTAGACACAGTTATACCCATTTTACAGATGCAGTAACTGAGACCCAGGGAGGCCAGACTGATTGTTCAGGGCATTAAGCAAAAGCTTGGAACTTGGTTTGTGTGACTCCCAAGTCAGAGCCTGTTTCATAGCTAACACGCCCTCCTACCCTTCACACTCCTACTCGCCCACTCAGACAGGGGGATTCAAACCTGCACTGTCCTCACTCAGAGTCAGAAGCTACTCTCTTCGCTCTGTGAGGGGGGTTTTCTGGAAAGGAGACCCATTGCTCCCACACAGTCCTGACTCCTAGAGCAGATATTAAGACTGTCTGCCATTTTATCCTCCCGGGCCACCTGGGACACCCGGGCAAATCCATCTCCCCTCAAGAGGCACCCCTTCACCCTGGGAAGACATGTCATCATTTTACAACTATGAGCTGAAGGCCGTGGGAGTTATCAATCCAGCTGGAACCTGCTGGAGCTGCTGTATTATCAAACTTGACACTGGTCTTCTGGTTGAAATAACTGGATGTACTTATGGCCACTCCAGTGGCCTCTCCCTCTGGAAGGACAGCCCGGGCAACGCCATCAGGGATGGCCAGGCGGAAGGAGGGAGATGCACGCACCTTTCTTCTGTCGCACTCGGAGGAGGTAAAGGGCTGCAATCACCAGGGCCACCAGCAAGGTACACACGACGCCCACCGCGATAAAAATTTTCTTATTCTGGTCAGAATTTTCTAGGGATCACATGGGACAGAATCTACATGGTCAGAGAGTACACACAGGGGTGAAGAAAGCCCACCACCCCCTTTCACCACTCAACAGATATCATTAGCCGAGACCATCTATCTGGCTGGGCGTTCCCAGAAGTCCCCAGCCGCATGGTGACACTGTGGGACCTGCACACACATCTCTATGCCTGCTCGTTTTATGGGCAGCCAGACAGGACACTAAAACGCCAGAAGGGAAAACCTCTGTTGCTGACAACCAAGAGGCATCCTCACTGCTGATGTGGACAAAAGTCTCACCTCCGAGGAACAAAGACACTCAGGGTCCTTCACATCTGGACTAAGTCCCAGTGCAGGCGCTGTGGCTGCACAAATGCACCTGAAACTACGTCACACTCAGGTGTAAGAGAGAGAGGAGAAAGACAGGTGAGGCATGGTGATGCGGGGATGTGTGCAGGTACCCCAGGCTCTGCAGAGTGTCAGAGCTGCCCAAGACCGGGGCTGAGGGCCAAGCCTAGAATTTCTGGGCGCAGGGGCATGGAAATGCAGGGCCAATGGCTTGGCTCTTTGGCAGCCCTGGGGCAGGCAGAGGATTCTAGATTACTGTCCAGTGACAGTCAGGAGCACAAGTCTTGAGTCACAGAAAACAGGACTGCAAACCAGTGACCATACGACTTCTATGACCCTAGGCCAGTCTTGCACCCATCAACGGCCTCGAGTTATCAGGGCTTTTCCAATAGTGTTTACTGAGTGTCTATTAGGTGCAAAGCCCTCAAGCTACAACACTGAGCAACACAGTCACCATGGTCCCTCCAAGCTGGAAACTCTAATCTGAAGCAGTCAGGAATAAATGGAGACCCAGAGAAGGGCCCTTTTCTTGCCTAAAGCCACACAACAGTCTGTGATGGAGGTAGAGGAGAGTGGAAATAAGATCTTGTCTTTCACTGCAGTGCTCAGACCATGAAAACCAAGTATCGATGAAATCACAGGGCCCCCAACCCCAAAAGTTTTAGACACCCGGCTGCTACATCAAAGTGTGGAGGGTCAAATCCACCTAGAGGCACCTTGGAAGAAAGGCTTGGCATTCTACTTCCCAAAAAAAAATCAGCCCCTGAAAACTCAAAGGAAAACAATTCTGCTTTAACACACATGGCTGCCATGAGCTGGGGTCAACGTCATGCCCGTCATGCCCACTGCCTGTCATGCAGTGGGTTTGAATGTTCCCTGAAGGATGGATTCAGGAAAGAAATTGCTCTGATCGAATCCATGAAAAGCCTCTATAACAGGCCAGGCAGTAGCCATGTTGGCAGCCGGAAGTGAAATATACCATGGGGCACTGAACTCCACCCAGGTGCTGCCATTTAGAATAAAGAGGAGAAAAGGACCGATAAGGGTTTGGAAGAGGGCTGAGAAAATGTTATCCCCACACCCCCTAGGGGAAGATATCAGCACAGTCCTTTTAGAAAACAATGTGATAGTGTCCATGTGCCTTAAATAGATGTGTCCTTTGACCAGAAATGCTCAACCAAGAATTCACCCTATGAGAATAGTCACATGTGAGCGACAGACGTGCAAGCATGCTCTTTGCACCATTAACCGTATGTGCTGCAAACACCCTACGTGCACGCCATTCAGTAAGTGTTTGCATGAGCCGGGGACAAGTCTGCAGTGTTGTTAGGCAGACAAGGCAGAGCTTAGCAGGAGCAAGAAGAGCTGTGGGCTGTTGTGGACCAGGGGATGCAGTAATTGTTAGGGGAGAAACAAGGAGCAAGACTTCTCTCATTCTTTCTTTCTTTGATGTTCATTTATTGGGCGGGAATCTATAAAGATATATACTAGAAAGTATTTATGCCAAACTTTTACAATAGTGAGAGTGGAACAGTGGGACTTAGGGAAGGAAACTAATTTCCTTTATATTTACAAATGTCTCGATTACTCTAAAGGGAACCTTGATAGCACAATGGTTAAGCCCTTAACTGTCAAGCAGAAGGTTGGGGGTTCGAACTCACCTGCTGCTATAAGGGATACTGGTAATGGCAGACTGCTGCAATAAGGATTTACAGCGTTGGAAATCTTACGAGGCAATTCTACCCTGTCTTAGATGGTCTCTTAAAGTCGACAGCAATGGGTTTGGTTTTGTGTTCGTTTACTCTATAATAAAATGAATGAGGGAGGCCTGGTAGTGTCATGGTTTAACCTTGATTGTGAATGGAAAGGTTGGCAGTTTGAACTGTCACATGGGCTCGCTACGAGTCAAAGTCCACTGGCTACCACTCAACAACAGGACGCATGAGTGACTATTTTAAAATTCAAATGATAAAGATAATAATAATAATAATATAAAATTATGTTAAAAAGCCAGGTAGGGTTGAGTGCGGGGCTCACCAGAGGGCGTGTCTGTGTTCTCGTTCTTCTGCGGCTCTGTGCGCGTCAGGGTCAGCTGCTTGGTGACCGCTGGCTGCCCGTCATGCACCACCTGGCAGGTGAGCACCACATGCTCCCTGAGGGCAGATGTGTTCACCAGGGTCCAGCTCTTCAGGTTATAGGTCCCATCCTTGTCCTCGGTGAGGATCGAGGCGGAATGTGCTCGGGACACATTTCCATTCTCCAACCAGGTCAAGTTTAGGCTTTTGGGGTAGAACTTCTTCACCTGGCAGGTGGCGTTCACCTGGTTCCCATGGGGCAGTTGTGTAACTTCCAAGGTGGGCGGAACTGAAAGAGCACAGAGCAGAAGCTCTGACCTTCAGGAACACACAGATCACAGAGGGGGCTTGAGAGCGGGGAGCTCCCACCATTGTGACAAAGGAGACACCCGGGGCGGTGGCAGGCATGCAGTATGAGGGTAACCTCTTTGCACAATGAATATAATCACAAGGCAGGGACCAGGCACACAGGAGGTGCTCAGGGTCCAACAGTTCAATTAGGGTCCTAACAAATGAAATCAACAAGCACAATGTCCTTTCATGCAACTGGAACTTGTAGCAAAATCAATATAATCACCAAGCACAAAGGGACTTAGCTTGTACTTGGGGCTAAAAAATGGCTGTTGCCTTTGGTCAAGGAAAGGAAACTCCCTAACACAAAACTTAGCCCATGGAAGAAGTTCAACTGGAAGCTGTCACTGAACTAAGTCAAAGTGTCGAGCAGTGTGACTGACACACTGCAGGTTGATGGTAACTGGGAGGGACTATTAGGGGTTGGATTCCAGGGAGTTTAAGCCCTGGAGAAAAGCAGGGTGGGAATGGGGGAAGCAGGCTGGGGTCTGGGCTGAGTGTGAGTGTCATCTACCTCGGATGGTCTCAGACAAGTTGGCCGTCCCGCGGAGAGAGCCCTGCAGGGTCGTGTGGGCCACCTCACAGATGACCTGGCTGTGAACGTCGTCCTGGGTCAGCATCACCTGAGCTGTGCTGGAGACGTTGTAGGAGACACTGTCGTCTGTCGGGACCACCTCTTCCTGGTGGATCAGGAGCTCATTCCCATTTTTGAACCACTTCAGGGTGACATCTCGAGGGGAGAAGCCATGGGACTGGCAGGTGAAGCTCACTCTGTGCCCAGGGGTGGCCCTCGTTGAGGGGCCCGATACCACAGGGGCAGAGGGCTTGGCTACAAGAAGGAGCATTTGTAACAGTTACCATGAGCGATACGTGTGTGACATCACTGTTGACACTCTTCCTGAAGACTATTCTCTAATCCTGCTAATACAGCTGGGAGGGAGGGGCCCGTCCTCACCCCACAGAGCAGGACGCAGAGGGGAGAGAGGTGAAGAGGCCTGACAGGCAGACAGGGGTGAGGCCGATAGGAAATTCTAGGCAGAGTCCAAATTCCACCTTCTTTTCTCTGAGCCAGGTGATTTCCTACCAATCTGGGCATTGGAACAAAATTACTCATCAGTCTCACTCTTTGCATCCACTAATCCTAGCTGGCCTCACCTGGAAGCCTTCCCATCTCAAAGAATCACATTTACAGAAGTAAATGCAGAAGTGGCAGAGCGGGACCACCATGATCCACAATGACCAGTCCACTGGTGGCCTGGATGCAGCATGTCCCAGCTTCCCCACCTGTAAAAAGTAGGGCCAGATGCCTTCCCCTTCCAGCGCTGGTGAAGATCAAATGAAGTCATGCCAACATTTTTACTCTGGACAAACCACAGACGGTGCCTAAACAGGCAAACACTTATCTCTAACCTACATTTTCTTTCTTTCCAGGTTCCCCTCTCCTTCAGGTCTTTACTCATTTACTCCCAATTCTGCATTCATTCCCAATATTCCGGCAGGGCCTAACCTGTGCCGAACCAAGATCTGAAAGGAGGGAAAAGGGGTCTGCTTCTCTGAGTGGGAGGTGGTCTTTTTAGGTGAAAACCAAAAGTTATTGGGTGCTGAAAAAGTCTCAAGAGGCTCATTTCTAAATTCAAGAGAAGCAAATAAGAGGAGACAAAGCCAGAAGCACTTCCAGTGCCCTAAACATATCCAGGAAGCAGAGAATTAGGAGGAGGGCCATTCTTCCCAGAGGGCACGTCCTTACCGCATATCTGGGGTCTCCAAGCTGTTAATTATTACCCATATTTCTGTAGAGTCACCAAGCAGCAAATATTACAAATATTTGCATTTGTGAATATTTAACTTCCCTCTAAATGCTCATGCAGCAACACTTTAAAGCACAGCAAAGGAGGGTGAGATGTGAACACTGATTGAGGGTCAGACCAAGAGAGGAAGACTTTCAACAAGATAGATGGATATAGTGACTGGAACAAGAAGCTAGTTAGAAATTGTGAAGTGGTGTAGGCTAAGAGAAGGTTCAGATCAGTTGTTTACAGGGTCACTAAGAGTCAGACTTGACCCAACAGCACCTAACACCACCACCAGCCTGGGCCCTGAAACTGGGCTATCAGACTCCAGCTTCTTTATCCTCCCTCCAGCCTGGTGGGCCAGTTCAACAAGCACCCCATTGACTGGCTGGGCTCCGACAAGGCGTGTGCTGGCTGGCCAAGGACACACAGAGCCCACACCAGGCCTGACTTAATTTTAATGCATCTGTGCTCTGTCTTTCTGAGCCTCAGCGTCTGTTTCTGTAAGAAGTGGATGAAACATCAACTTGGTAAGAGCAGAAGTTGTGTGTCTACAAGAGCCTGGTGGGTGTAGCCGCTCTGGAAGTACCATTGTGATACTTGGGATAAAGTTATCAGGAGAAGCTCGGCCTGGGAGAAGGACCACATGGTTGGAGAAGGGTCAGTGAAAGAGAAGACCCTTAACAAGATGGACTGATGCAATGACTGCTATTAACAACAAGCCCACCTACAGCAGAGATAATGTGGAATGGCAGGTTTCCATTCTGTTGTTCTAAGAGTGCCTGTGGGTTGGAGTTGTGTTAATCTGGAGACTAAGGTGCGCCTGATCCTGGCCATGGTCTTCACAATCATGTGCTATGCATCAGAAACCTGGACAATGACTCGGGATGACAGAAGGAAAATTGATACCTTTGAGCTGTGGTGTTGGAGAAGAGTATTGAATATACCATGGGCTGCTAAGAGAACAAACAGGTATGTCTTGGAGAGGATAAAACCAGGCTGTTCCTTGGAAGCAAGGATTCTGAACCTCCGTCTGACATACAATGGACATTTTGCAAGGAGGGATCAGTCCTTGGAGAGGGACATAATGCTTGGGAAGGTGTAGGGACAACACAAGAGAGGAAGACTTTCAATGAGATGGACTGATTCAGTGACTGGGGTAATGGGGGTAGCTGTGTAGAGATAATAAGGTTGGCTCAGGATAGAGCAGGGTTCAGAGCTGTTGTACAATGGGTCGCTATGAGTTGCAGGTGACTTGATGGCACATAACAATAATAACAACACAATAACAACAACAATATTATTTGGATGGTAAGAGATGATCACTGAGAGTTTTTAAACAACTGAGTGACTCCTGAGGCAATAAGAAGCAAAACAAAAGCATAGAACAAACAGCAAAGCACCCCAAATTCTCTCCCAAATGCTGCCAAACGAAGAAAACAAAATTTAAAATAGCAGTGAAAACCATCAAATTCTATTTCTCCTCTTTTAAAATAATCCCCTCAGGAAGCAAAGTTTGGTGGATGGATTTTCAAAACACAAAGATGGCGGGCGTCTTCCACTCGACCAGCTCCGCACAGAAGCTGGGTATGTGCTAAGTGGGCTCTCCACAGCCACACTGAGGCAGGGAGGGTCCCGTGACGGAAATGTCACATTCTATTCAGACACAAATATGTTTGAAGATGGGAAGGCTCCCCAGCAATGAACTCGAATCAGAACCCAGCTTTGTTTTGGTGTTCACTCTTGGTGGACAGAGCATGTGGGGAGCCCCTTCTCGGGTCCTGAGGTATGTCTATGAATGAGGTGTCCGTGCCACATGCTGGGGCCTACTTTCTCAGGTCCCCAAAGAGCTGTCACTGCCATGGCCTATTCTGAAGGACACACACCCCCTTGAAAGCTGTTCTGAGGCCCAGAACCATGGGGAACCTGCCCTGACAGGAAATCTCTCGTGACCCCAGAGCACAGGCAGCTCACGAGCCCTCAGCCCTGCCTGTGGATGGAATCATCTGGAGTTACTGCAAAGTTTAGATGCCTAGGCCCACTCCAAACCATCCGAATCAGAATTTCCGTGACAGGACCTGAGTCTTGGGATTTGTTTTTCAAAGTGCTCTGGATGATTTTAATGAGGAGCCAAGAACGAAACCACTAAAGCTAGTGAACTCTCACCCCAAACCTCATTTACAATATAACCTGGAAAAGTGACCTGTCCAAGGTCCAATGGCTTTTGGCACAACATTCAGAACTTAAAGTTATTGGGAATTTCCTGTACCTCAGGTACCATTTTAAACACCTCACTCTTTGAATGATCCCAGCCTCTCCAGAAGACTGGAACCAGAGCTGACATGTGAGGACACAGAGCCCAGTACAACTCATCCGAGGTCACAGTCCGGAAGCGGCAGAGCTGGGATTCGAATCCAGTCAGCTGGGGGGCAGTCTGCGCTCCCCTAACCACTGCACTACTCATGCTCAGCAATAACTGCAAATCTAAGGACATATTAGGGAGCATCTGGCCTAGCGGCTGCGCTGCAATCCAGAAGGCACACAGTTCAAGGCCACCAGCTGCTCCGCAGCAGAAGGACAGGCAGTCTCCTCCTGTGTGAAAACCCACTGGAGGGTTGGTTCTGACTCTATGGGACAGAACAGCAACAAGGGCATATGCATATCCTCTCCAATCCTCAGAGAACCCAAGTGTTGGTGGTGTTGGGTGCTGGCAAGTTGACTATGACCCGTATCAACCCTGTGAAGAACAGATCTGCACCCTGTCCGGTCCTGAGCCATCCTCACCGTCTCTGACACACCCGAGCCCACTGCTACAGTCACTGTGTCAATCCCCCTGGTTGAGGGGCTTCCTCTCTTCTGCCTATCCTCCACCCTTCCAAGGAACAGCCTCTCCTAGCAACATGTATGAAGTACATGAGACACATGTGTCCATGGGACGCCAGAGCAGTGGTCATGATCAGCCCCATTTCACAGGTTCAAGGGGAAAAGGGACTTGCTCAAGATCAGTTATGAGAGAATCAAACACCCTTCATTTACTGAGATCTAGGCTAGTGCAAGGGGTAAGCACTCATCTGCCAACCTGAAAGTCAGTGGTTTAAACTCAACATTCGGTCTGGGGAAGAAAGATGCAGCATTCGGCTTTCGTAAAGACGAAGCCTTGGAAGCCGTATGGGGAGCGCTGGCAACAGAGTCTGTAGGGGGTCATGTTGCTAGTCCAAAGGCGGTTCAAATCCACCAACAGCTGACAGAAAAGTGTGCAATCTCTTCCAATGCAGATTACAGCCTCTGAAAACCCACAGAAGGGTCAGCTACCAATCAGTTCCAGCTGGACGGTCATCGCTGAGTTTTTTAAAACCACAGAGAGGGAGCTCTGGTGATGTGGGGCACAGGAAGTTTTGCTTCCAACCCAAAGGCCATGCCTCTCTGAAGGTTCGAATCCACCAGGAGCTTCATGGGACAATGATGAGCAGTCTCCTCTCACGTGATTTACAGCCTTGAGAACCTGTTGGAGGGTCAGCTATGAGTCAACTCCAGCTCATTCGCAATGAGAGCGCGTCCCCATAGGGCGAGTCTAATCTGTCCACTGGGCAGCCACGAGTTAGAAGTGACCTGAAGGAAATGATGTGTTTTGTTTGTGAACTAGGTGAGTTTTATTCCTCACAGTATCCAGAAAGATGGGGGTGATTACCCACACAGTCTACAGCTGAGGAAACTGAGGCTCTGTAAAGAAACCAAGTCGTGCAAGGTCATTCAAACTTGAAATAATACCTAGGTTGTCTGAGTGCCAGCTCTGTACTAGGTGCCTCATATTGTTGTTATTGTTGTGTACCTCTGAGTCGGAACACAGATGACCCTCTGGCAGGTTTGCAGAGGCAGCTAATCGCACAGGAGGAGACTGCCCATTCTTCTCCCACGGAGCAGCTGGTGGATTCGAATTGTGTGCCTTTTAGGATCACAGTGCAGTTTCTTACCATTAGGCTACCAGGGCTCCCTGGGTGCCTAATCCAAAGGACCTGAAATAGTTTCAACTCTCCTGAAAGGATTCCAAGATTAGCATCATTTTGTAAATGAGAAAACGGAAGGTTTCGGGGATAAGATGTCTGTGACCAAGTGGGACTCTCCTGTGGTCTACAAGCATTCGTTCCTCTGACATCAGCAGAGCAAATGCCCACCTTCAGCAAACCTCCCTTCTCCCTGTGTGATCCTTGGCTGCAGTAATTACCGGAGCAGCCATCCTCCTCAGCAGCGCCCAGGCCGGTTACTGTGCAGCAATAAACAGAGGATGCTGGGCGCCTGACAACCTGCATCTGGAGAATAAACATTCGCTCACCCGGGACCCCCAGCACCCTCCAGGGGCTGCCCTCCTCTCGGCATCCTTGGCCTTCGGGGCTGTGCAGGGGGTGCCTATTCTCTGGAGGGGAGGTTGCCTGGGCCCCTCTCTGTTCATCAGCACTGCCTTTTACAGAGCAGGCTCCCCGGCTGCAGAGAAGCATCAACATCACAACAATGAGGAGGAAAGGTGCCTCCGTGCCACTAAGGCTCGTGCCGAGGAGCCTCTTTGAAGAGCAGGTTCTCTATCTCCTGATCTATCTGGGTGATCGGGGTGACAAAGCTCCCCCTTTCTTCCACGATGGGATTCTTTTTTAAATGCTCAGTGTTGCAAAGCAGGATAACACATGATTTTAAAAGGAAAGGACTACAGCCCTCTGCACACTGTGACAAGTACCATGTGGGGGGGGGGCAGGTGCCACAGAGAACAGGGACTGTGGAGTCACAGAGTTTAGGGTTCCAATCTCAGGCTCCCTATTTGCCCACAGTCAGGTGCCCATTCTGAGCTTTATGTGCTCATTCATGTGTAAAGGACAGTTAATGCCCCTCCCTCCCAGTCCTGGGTAGAAAGGTAAATGGCATCGTGGGAACATGATGGATCTCGCTGGTCCCCTGCCCCTTTCTCATCCTGGCCTTCACCTGGGGAGACAGCCTGGCAGAGAGGACGGGCGTTCCACCAGGAGTGAGCAGCTGCAAGTCAGGATCAACCTTTTGCTCCTGTGGCTGCTTTTGTAAGGGAAGGAGACAGACCATCTGAGGGCCTAAGTGCTTGGACCTGTAACATCCGTAAAATGAAGAAAAAGCTACCTTCCCCGCCTATGTCCTGGGCTGGAGGTATCTCAGTAGCTGAATTTGGCCCAGTCCATGGAAACTAAACTTCTCAAGTGCTCTAACCCAGGATGCCGCCCCCAGTGGATACCCCACTCGTGTAGGACAATGCAGCTGCGGGTCACTCGAGCAGCTCTGTGTGGACTTCCTGACTGGGGACAAAGTATCCATCACACTTGACCACAGAATAAATGACTCACGACACTTACATATGATGAGACATTGGAGGAGCTTTAAAGAAGAAAGCAGCTCTATTATACTGATGCAGCGAGTACAGGATGATCTGGTTTATATTGAGAAAGGCCTTCTACTTACCTACTACGGGCATTGGGGTCTGAATGTGAGGGACATCCTCAACCTTTGGAAAACTGATAAAACTGAGCAATGCTGGTTCAGCTCAGTGAGCTTTTATTTGGCACCTACTGCATGCCAAGCTCTTTTGTGGTCAGAACAGCACAGGCTGGAGTGTGACATAGAACCAGGTCCCGTCACTGTCTCATCTTGTTACTGTGTGCAGGACCCTGTCACCTTCTGGCCTCAGGTGTCCCACCTATGAGTGAGGACTGGACTGTATCTAAATGTCCTCTGGGGTTGAAATTCCAGGATCCAGGAGTTGGATAAGGTTCCTGGGTCTCTGGAAGAACACCCAACATGAACATCCTCTTTGCTTCACGGACCAGGTAACTTCTGAGTCACTACACGGGAGGCTGGTCTCTGGGATGAGGACATTGTGAGATGACTGGGCTGGGCTCCGAGCCCTCTGTGCTCAGGGGGTGACAATCCAGAATCTGGACATTTCCATGAGTTTTACCAGAGTCCATGGCGTAGTCAGCCCTCTCAGCGTCTCCCACCCAACGCTCCCAGATCCAAACGGAGATTTTGCCTCCCAGGTCCTTCTGCTCAGTATGAAAAATAGAAACTCACATCCCCTCTGCCCTGGCCCAACCCTCTCAGCAGTGGGAGGAGAGAAATGAAGCTCAGAGGAAAGATTTCTGTCTGCTTTGCTCTGTGCTGTTTCCAAATAGCAGAGCAGAGCTATGCACAATGGGCCCTCAGCAGAGCTGCACACAAAGGGGCCTCAGCAGATGTGCATAGAGGAGAAGATACAGCCGTGCTGCAGTGAAGAATCTCAGGCCTGGGGGTAAGGTTTGTCCTGTGACTGGACGTCCTCTAACCTCTCAGCGTGCAAGCAGGTTGGACAAGGCAAGGGTATCAGGCCGACTGATAAGGTTTCCAGACTTTTCTCCACCTTATGACAGCTGTGAGGTCTTGAGCAAACAGCATTACCTCTAAACCTCAGCTCACTCATCTATGAAAACGGGCGAGAAGACAAGCCCCCCAATACCCCTGACACTGAGTGCTCGCTCAGACAACAGAGGGGTTAGTACTGAGCTGCTGTCACACCGAAGGGCAGGTCCCCATGCTGTACTCACCACTCACAGTCACCCGGGTCCCAGGACCAGACTTATACTCCACATCAGGGCTCCCTTTCCTGAACTTCACACAGAAGTAGGTGCCGGTGTCGGCTGGGGTGATGTTGCTGATGCGGATGGAATAGTCCAGGTTCCCTTGTTTTGTTTGATCTGTAAGGTTTCTCACTCGGGGGAAGAGGCGTATGTGGTCCAGGCCTCCTCTGAAATTGTAGACTAACTGCCGATCAGGTCCAGCCCCTCTGTACCACTGGATGGGCCCCACGGGCAAAGGAGAGGAGAGGACACATGACAGATTGACCGCCTCTCCGGCTGCGACTGATGCAGTCCCAGGCTGAGTCACCTGCAGCTCCTCCTGACCGGTCACTCCTGCAGGAGACACAGGCCATTAGTCCTTTTGTGGGGCATATCTATTTACCCAGCTTTTCTCAGCTCCCACCTTCACTCTGAGCACCACTATGACCGGGTGCCATGCTCAGCAATCCCCACGTATGACCTCATGTTTCCTCATCAGAACCTACACAGTGAGGCTGTGTGACCAGTGGGGAAACTGAGGCACACTGTAGTTAATGACTGGGCAGAGTGCAGGGATGAATCTGACTCGAGTGGAACCTTGAACCCTCTCAAGAATAATCACATCTGACCTAGGCTCCTGGATTCAAATATGGATTTATCAAGAAGTGGGGGGGAGGGTGCTCCCCACAGAGGGCTCAGCCTGGACCAAGGCTCCCGTGTGTGGCAGCCGTGTATGTGGGATTCAAAGAGGAGCTCAGGGCCCACGTCCATCCTGACCCAGGAAGCAGGTCCCAGGCAGGGAGCCAGACTCAGTGTCCGAGGTTAGTCCAGGCGGTGGGGTCGTGGAAGGATACGGGACTGAAGCAGGAAGACTGGTTGGAGTTTTGACCTGGTGGTTTACAGGCCCGTCAGGTGACTGACAGGATCAAATTGGGGGCTCACAGGAGGGAGCTGTGCACACTGCCTTAGGTTCATCCCTGCACTGACCTTGACATTTTCTTCTATAAAATAGTTACCAAGACCCCAGATCAATCCCTGAAAGGATTAAATACATCCAGAACAGAGACAGTGTCACCAAGAGCTTCTTCTTTGGAGTCAGAAGACTGATGTGAAACCTGGCCAGGCCCCCTCATTCATGTGTAAATTTTACATTATAGTGTCCATGACCTTATCTGCGAGGCAGTTATAATAACCCCATCGGTCTGTCTTGCTCTGAAAAGGAAATGAGGTCACACATAGAAGTCCCTTAGCACTGACCTGGGCATAGGAGAGGCTGTTCTTGTCATTACACAAACAGTGTGAGTAGTATACACGTCACCATCAGCCTCAGCTGCTGCCCCTGCAGGCCAGACTCTTGGTGCCTGTGGGACACACAGAAGCAGGACCCCATCCAGGCATTCAAGGTTCACGGCAGGCAGGGTAGGAAGGAACGTGAGGTCCCAATGTCAAAGGCTGCTTAGAGTACATGAGATAGGGACGGCGGAGAGGCCGAGGGGAGGGCACTGCCAGGACCATGAGAGGACACTGCTGTGAGATACAGGGATGGAGAGAGAACGGCTTAGGACTGGATTCTTCACTAAGTAAAGTTCAAGGTGAGAAGGGAGAGACAGACCAGGGAAACAGAGAGAAAAGAGAGAGAAGCAGAAAGAGCCAGAGAGGCAAAGACAGAATGAGAGAGTGAGACAGAAAGTGGGAAAGAGAATAAGCACGACAGATAGGGACTGGGGTGCAGGGAGACAGGTGGTCCAGGGCCCAGTCTGAGCTCTCCACTGACCCGTGCTGTGACCCTGGGCAAGTCCTGACCCAGTGTTGGCACCTCAGCCTCACACAGCAGCCACGGCTCCAGCACACGCCCTGAGCTGGAGAGAGACCTTGGTGATTCTCCCACAAGCCTATGGGCCTAGCACGGCCCCACTAGCAGGGAAAGAACTCAAGGGAAGAGGGGTTCACAGACACCAGTGTTCCCTCACTGGACATCGCCTGCCCCCTTCCTGTCCTCTCCTCAGCTCTGCCCATCTTGGCTCCTAGGTCAGGAATCACCCACGAGGGCTGGTTCTCACTCATGGCAGGTGAGCAGAGTCTCAGCATTTCAGTCTGCTCCTGACAGGACTGGGGAAGGAGCCCACACCCACAGAGGCAGGGGCTCGGCAGACATCATCCAATGGGCGGCCAGAGGTGTGACAGACACAGGGAGGGGCTGGCCAGCCGGCCCAGCAACATCAGAGGCAGCACAGCAGCTGTCAACAGCGGTGAGCCAGAAGCATCCCCTCTGAGTACATCACAGACCAGAATGACCGGAAATTCTGCTCTGGAGAAGCGCAGGTCCTGGGGCCAGGGCAGAGGACGAGGCTCCCCACTCAGCCAGCTCAGCTCCCATCTTTATCAAGTGGGACCAGGTGTAGTTAGTTCTGAGGCCTGCCTGACCCAGTGGTCCACAGCACTGACCACACAGGGCATCTGGCCAGACAAGGGTTCCTGCCTCATTACGGTCATCACACAGATACATTATTTTTATTTAATTTTCTCTTGATCATCATATTCCCCCACAAGTAAGTAATATCCACAATGGACTGTTCCCAAACCCTTGCCCCATGAAATACTTAACAGAAACCATCAGAAAACGGGAGCAGAACCTTCCTGTTTATCACCCAGTTATGTAATAACGCCCAAAGACTAGTTTCTGATGATTTGACTCATGGTTATTCTGGGCGTGGGGTAGAATCATGCTCCAAAAGGCTTTCAAAGTTGTGTCTATTTGGGAAACAGGTTGCCAGGCCTTTCTTCTGAGGCACCTCTGGATGGGTTCCACCTTTCAACTGTCCACCTTTCACTCAGATGCAGAATGCTTAACTGTTTGTGCCACCCAGGGATCCAGGCAGTGAAAAGGGATCCTTTGATAAATGGATACTGAATGAATGAGAGAATGCACTGGGCTCTGTGATCCTGGGCAAACACCCCTCTCTTAGCCTCACTCCTCCCCTGTGAAATGGGCTGAAGTTGGCACTTTCAGGAGAGTGCAAGCCTGGGGCCAGGGCTGAGCAGCTCACAGATTGAGTGCAATCGCTGGCAGTTATTATTATCTTTATCAATAACCCCACACTGAGCTGTGAGTCAGCAGTCGGTGTGAGCAGGTCGCGGAGTGAGGCGAGAGGCGTGCTGGGGCAGGGCTATTCTCAGGGTGCCTCCGGAGGCCTGCAATCACACCCAGGAAGGCGACAATAAAATCTAGCACTGAGGAGTGCTGGCTCCCCATTTTTTAATTTTAATTTTTTTAGCTCCTCTCGAGCACTCTCCACCAACTGCAGCCAGATTTAGGCAGTGTAATTAATTAGCTAGTGTTTATAAAGCGTTTGAAGAATTTTAAAAGTGCGACGCGAGTGCCAAATATTATTTTAATCCGTGTATGTGTGCGTTCTCCAGTAGAGTTCCTTCTATCTCCTCTTCTTTTTCTCAGCAGGTTCTGGGAAACGCATGTGTTAGAATTCACCCCTGTGGCTCTGGGGTTGGGGTGGCGTCATTGAGGACCTCGTTTCTGGCTCATTCCTGGCCTCCAGGCATGGGCAGTGGCTATGTGGGGGCGTGGAAGGTCCCAGGAGAAGAGGGTGACTGCAGGCTGCCGGTGGGCGTGGAGACAGAACATCTTACACTGCGCAAGGATTGTGCAAATGGTTTGTGCAGGGCTTCTCACCTCAAGGTTGGCAGTTCAAACCACCCAGCAGTATTAAAGCAAGGCCTAGAACCTGCTTCTGAAAGGCCACGGCTATGAAAACTCCACAGAGCAGTTTGGCAAGATGTACCAAAGGTGTGACAACTGCTCACTAGCTTTTTGGGACTTCACTCAAGGCCATTAGTACCTCATATTCAGGTCTGTTTTCTGCATACAGATCTTCAAGAAGTCAGAAATGAGCCCAAATGGTCAATGATAAGAGAACCGTTAAGGGACCCGTAGTATATCCCCTACATGGTATTACCAGAAGTCACGAAAAGCTCTCCCCAGCAAAACCATAGAAATATAGCAATCTTTATGATACAATTTTAAATAGTATTGTGATTATGCAAATAAAGAAGTTCATTGTAAAACGTTTAGAGAAAACAAAAAAAGCATAAAAACAAAACCTAAGCCTTATATAATACCATCAAAGATAAGTACAATCAATATTTTGATGTAGTTAAAACATAATGAGAAGGAAAACTATGTATTTTTAAAAATCATACCATCAAGCCACTAAGGATATGTGCAAATATTTATCTTCATTCATTCAGATAGTCTTATCAAAGCGAAAAATAATTTAGCATCCACAGAAAAGAAGCTGGCTGGGGACAGTCTGAGGAATCCCATATGACGGTTAAGCTTCCATCCAGGACAACTAGCTGGCACTGAAAGCCTGGGACGGCTGATGTGGGGCTATCTATGCTGACGACTACAATGCTGGTCCCAAGAGATATAGTCCTGTGAACTCAAACGATTTTTTAAGTGATATAGGATATTAAGGATTAATAATGATTAATTTGAGGAGATTTACAAGGAATTTGCTCTTATTTATAGTTTCTGTTTTTCTTTTGCAATAAAGTATGCATCACTTCTAAGATAAAGGAAAAACTATTTTCAGCAGGATCATGACTATGTAAAACTATAAACTATTTTATGCTGTATGTTTGAAATACATATATAATACAATCCCATAGTTATATAGTATATATGTAATTGAAGACACCTAACAAGATGACGGGCGCTCTGGTGGCCTATTGGTAAAGAGCTATGGTGGCAACCTGAAGGAACAGAGTTTGAATCTACCACTGCTCCACGGGAGAAAAATGGGCAATTCCCACCCAGTGAGGTTTACTGCTTTTGAAAACTCACTAGAGGGTCAGCTATGGGTTGTTTCTGACTCTATGGTACTTAACAACAACAACAACAAGATGATATTTTTCTAACAGCGATTGTTTCAGAAGTGGATGACCAATCCTTCATCCTAATCTGTCTTAATCTGGGAGCTCTACTTTTGTACAGCATCGGACAGACAAGGGCTGTACCATGACATCAGATGATAAATGAGCAGGTATATACATATCTAAACTAGTAAGGGCAACAATACAGAACACACTCCCCCAACACAAGCAACAGATAGACAGCTGATTATACCCCTAAGAAACCTAGATCAAAAAGCTGTTGTCTGAACATTAGGTACACTGCATGGTTTAAAGTCAATGAAACAGTGTGTCAGAACTGGATCCTTTCTCCATACCTATTCCATCTGTATGCTAAGGAAATTATTCAAGAAGCTGGACTCTATGAAGAAGGTTGTGGCATCAGGATAGGAGAAAAACTCATCAACAACCTGTTATGCAGATGA